CAGCAATACCACGTGATAATACAGTAGTAGCGTCTAAATGAGCAAATGTTGTTGCTGGTGCAGGATCAGTTAAATCATCGGCTGGTACATAAATAGCCTAAAATGGAATCAAATTTACTTAGTTCGACTCGTAGAAGTTCTATTTTGGAGATTCAGAGCTTTAAAGACTGAGATGATACTTTACAATTCAATATATTTATGCTGATTACGTACTTGCACTGATGTGATGGATCCTTTTTTCGTTGTTGTGATACGTTCCTGCATAGTACCCATATCAGTTGCCAATGTTGGTTGATAACCGACAGCAGATGGGATACGACCGAGTAAAGCTGATACCTGAAATAGAATAGAAAAAGGTGTGATCTATGTATTTAATACTAATATTTTTTCTTACTTCGGAACCGGCTTGTGTAAAACGAAAGATGTTATCAATAAATAACAATACATCTTGTCCTTCTTTATCTCGAAAGTATTCGGCTACAGTTAAACCAGTTAATGCAACACGAGCTCTTGCACCCGGAGGTTCATTCATTTGACCGTATACGAGAGATACTTTGGAGCCTTTGCCTTTCAAATCAATGACCTTTTAGAAAAGAGCAATGTGAAAAGGGCTAGAAAACGGGAGTGTTTTATGGTTTACCTTAGTTGTTATCATTTCATGATACAAGTCATTTCCTTCACGCGTGCGTTCACCAACACCGGCAAATACCGAGTAACCACCATGCGAGGTGGCAACGTTATAAATTAATTCCATGACAAGTACAGTTTTTCCTACTCCAGCACCACCGAACAAACCGATTTTTCCTCCTTTGGCGTACGGTGCTAATAAATCGACGACTTTAATACCAGTTTCAAGAATCTGTTGTTCGACATTCATGTCTGTAAATGGTGGTGCGTCAGCATGAATTGCTGCATAACTGAAACACAGAATGTAGATAAGTACTAAGTACTGTACCCTTATAGACGTTCATCAGTAAATAAAATTTTACAGATTTGAATCTGAACGAGGCAAGGACAGTTATCGATGATCAGAGATGAACGTCGAAATCATTTGTTTTTCATAGCCCAATGCTCATCAATCTCATCATGTCAATCGAGTTAATATTCAAAGAAAGAAAAAGCAATACTGAATAATACATATAAACACAAAAAGTAGATAAGTACTAAGTATTGTACCCTTATAGACGTTCATCAGTAAATAAAATTTTACAGATTTGAATCTGAACGAGGCAAGGACAGTTATCGATGATCAGAGATGAACGTCGAAATCATTTGTTTATCATAGCCCAATGCTCATCAATCTCATCATGTCAATCGAGTTATTATTCAAAGAAAGAAAAAGCAATACACATTTCACATACTCTTCAGCTTCAACAGGTCCTCTTTCATCAATTGGATCTCCAATAACATTGATGATTCTTCCCAAAGTTGCAGCTCCAACTGGAATTTTAATCGGTGAACCAACATCAGTGACACGCTGACCGCGAACTAGACCTTCTGTACCATCCATAGCAATTGTTCTAACAGTATTATCACCTAAACACACATAAATACTAAGATATCGGTTATTTAGAAGTAAAATACAATGGGCAGAATATACCTAAATGTTGCGATACTTCAAGAATAAGCTTTGGTTGACGTCCTTCAACATGTAATGCATTGAGAATCGGTGGTAAATTATCATCAAATTGTACATCGACAACGGCTCCGATAACAGACACAACTCGTCCTGTAGCTCCTTTATTTTGTACAGGTTCTTTTGGTTTGGGAGGAAGAGTAGTACTCGGGGTTTGAGTTTGTTTCGATGATAAGGGATTTGTTTGCGCAGAGGCTGTTGGTGGTGCATTTTGTCTTCCGACAACTGAAGAAAGGAAAGAAACGGCAAATAGAAACCCTTACCAGAAAGTTATATGCATACTGTGAAAATTGGCTGTTGGAATTGCTAATTTTGACCATCTCGAGCCAATATTTGTTGAACGTTTATTCAAAACAGCTTGAGCTACTCCACCCGCTCGCCGACAAGCACTGCGAATTCCTTGCATAATTTTTAAATAGAGATTTTTAGGTCGTTAAAAACGACTGCGTGTACGAATATTTAGGATTTCTTTTTTTCCACCCAGCAAACCGCAATAAAATTTCGCAGATTAATCGACTGGTGTAGTTCTATTATTATCACGGCAGAATTCAGTCCTGAAACAAGTACATTAAAGAGGAGAAAATAACAAGGGTTATGGCTAGTCCAAAAATTTGAAGAAATACTATAAAAGCTATAGAGAGAACTACAAACATCATTTCAGTAATTGATCTAAATTCGATTTCCAAAAAGAACAAAAGTCACCTTTAAGTTAGTGGTTTATGCATGGATAGCGTATAAAACCGTAGAGGTTGCTACCTAGTTACGGTAACGTATAGATGGAGTAATGTATCCAGTTGCATACAACGGAGAAAACGAAGTACTAGATTATTTTCTTTTTATGTGTAGCTAAGTACCTGTTTCAAATTTCCTTTCTAGTACTCAGCAGATATTTCAGTTTGAAATCGCAAAAAAGTTGATCTATCAGAGCTGAATGCGGAGCTGTGCTTATATTTAGTAAAGTTGCACTTTAGCCGAAATAAACGAGAAGAAAACAAAACAAGAAAGTTCTTATTGGAGTAAAAATTAGTCGGAGTTGTCGATCTCTAGATCGAATCTAGTCACCTTAAATTGTTTTTCAAATAAAACCAAGGAAATCCCCTAACCCGGCTGATTCGTGTACTTTTGTTGTATGCTTCAAAGAATTTTCTTACTTTTTTTTGTCTATGTTCAACCGTATATAAGTAAAATGGAGCTTTCTCAGCGAAAAGAGAAGAAACAGTGAACACAAAGTACTTCGGACTATACATAATAAAAGCACGTATGTCAATAACGACTTATTTTTCTCTAAAAAGATGGTTTGAATCGCGGCACCCATCACAAAAGGCAAAATACCGTTACAAGTTTTGCCGAAGTCAGAATCACTATCGCCCTTAATGTATTTCAACACCAGAAATTGATCTGCTAATTTCATTCTCAAAGAAACTTCAAATTCAATTCAGCTGAGGTGATCTGTAACTGACTTCGTTTTAGACTTATTTTAATCATTATTTTTCTAAAATAAAAATATTTTCTTTTTCATAAAGAGACATAAAAAGAGAATAAAAGACATAAAAGGAAACACTGAAATTATTAGTTAGTAATAAAAAAAATTCATGGGCAACCTTATCAATGAAGTGAGAAAACTACAATATATCTGAAATAGGTGAACAAGAACTTAATTGTTTGTTAATTCGCTGACCGCTAACAATATGAGCTCGAATAAAACAGCAGACTAATAAACAATTTTTATTTAAACGACTGAATGCTTTACTTTTCTTAAAGAATATGAGAATGAAAAACTGTAAACGAAAGTAACCCATATCCAGCTGAATAAACAAGCAATTGAATCACTTACAATATTAATAGTCATATAAGAACAAGAATCGAAAATGTATTTTTAAAATACGATGTAAAAGAAAATAGATTTTATATCTACATTAAAAAATCAGTAATGTTTATTTCTGCATTCACACTTTTGATAAAACGAAAGGTATTTAATGTACGTAATCGAAAATAAGATGAATTACCATTGAACTGCAGCGATTTATCAAAAAATCAATTGTAAAAAACTATAGCACAATTAAAAATAACATCAGAGAAAAAAAATATGAAATTATCTCGAACTAATAAGAGCAAACTTTCTCTGAACAAACTGGACGCAAAATATTTAGTATAGGGTATGAGGCTGCTACACCAGGTCTTCGGTAGAGATCTGCACGGGTTAAGAAAGCGTAACCCGAACCCGATCCGATAAATTTTTACTTTTTTGTTTCGTTCTTAAGTTTGTCTTTTTATTTACCTATTTATTTAGCGGAGGGCATCGCATTACAGGTGAGTGACCTTTTGCTAATAGTCTACTAATATTACAAAAAATTTGAGCCTTATATCTTTCTAAATTCGCTTGTTATTCAACTTTTCCTCTTGAATGAGAATAGTGTTTTTCTGAAACAAGAGAACATCCTAAAAAAGGCCAGGACAACTCTAGCGTTTTTCCTTTGAAATAATTAATCGTCACCTGATATTCTCCATAGTGAACATATACTGTAGTGCTTAATGCGATGAAAACTAAAGCAGAAGGTTTGGTAGGTGAACGAGCCAGCTGATAGAATAGAAATAATATTTCGCAGAAGAACGTTATCTTTCTGAAAAAAAGTTGACTCTCCAATCTTCCCTTAAGGGTTCTCTAGTTTCCCTTTGTCTCACAAACGGGAAAGCACGCACGTGGCAAAGCTAATAACTAAAAACACTGTTTTCCTTCAAGAAGAAAAGTTCAATAACTAGCGAATTTAGAAAGATATAACGTTCAAATTCTCTGTAATATTAGCAGACTATTAGCAAAAGTACAAAAGAAAATTCCAACTCTTAATTCTTTGTCTTGACTGTGTTGCAGAATTATTACTGTTACTACACACAGTGTTCCGTTACAACAATAAAAAGTCATAACTTTTGAAAGAACTTAATATGGGTTCTCCTTTTAGGATTTTTATCAGCTCGCTTCTCTCTATTAACTGACATAATATCATTAAAAACGGAGTTGGGTATTTGAAGACCTTCCCTCGTTAGTGAATGCAGTTGTTCTGAAGTAAGTATTTCAATTGAATATTCCAGTAGACGAGTAATACAAAATTGAAATTATTATCTATATTTTAAATTGCGCCGAAAAATTTTCAATCCTAATTAATTTGGATCATATGGAATCCCAGATTACATCGCTACTAGCAGATGGAAGAAATTGAAGAGTACTCGAGCTGTGCTTTAGAGGCGCTGCTATTGTATTTTAATCACTTCATGCTCTTATTCATTTTTTTGTACTTCTGCATTGTAAAAAATATGGTGTGACGCTGTTGCATCAGTTTTAGAACATTTGTCGCAAAAAATGTTAGAACTTTTTAGTGTACGCTTTTTTAGTATGGCGAACAGTTATGAGAAACAGATGTTCCTGCAGCTGATGAACGAAGACTTCGTATTGCTGAGAGAAAGAACCACAACAAATAAATGCGGTCAAGAATTTCAGAGTTGGAGAAGGTGAATAGTAGTGCTTGATCGGATACCATAAAATAAAAAAGGAAAAGCCCAAAATAGAAGATATGAACCGATAAAAAGCGTAGTCCACATTTCTCAACAGAAGAATCTGATCTTTACATTTTCCCCACCTTAACAACTAAATGCATTCTTCTTTCAGAGCTATGGGGGATCAATAGTTATTAAAAAGTGTGAGATACTGATGAAGCGAATTAATTGAAAAATTTCACACATCAGAGTGCTTTGATATCCAGTTTTGTCTTCATATTTGCAATTTCTTTATTCTATTTAGTCGGTGTTCATCCATGTATTTGACAAGAGCGTACTACTTAAACGAGATAGTTTATGGCTATTATTAATATAAATTGGAATATTTCAGTGATGATATTCGCTCTATTCTGATCTATATGTATAAGTGTGTGATAAATGAATTGATTGGAAAAACAAAAAATATCCTAGAATGCTTTTTATTTTCATGATTGTTATTTTCTTCATGATTATACTGAACAAGTGTTCAATATCTGAGTTTTTTCCGTTTCAGTTAATATGTACTATATTCATAAGACAAAAAACATTCATCTCTTCCTACATTGTTCTTCATGATTCTCATCTATAGAAATGAAGAAAAATGTGCATTCACGATGAAATGTTTTTCTAACTAAAAACAATTTTAGAATCTGGTGGATATTTTTACATTTTCATCAAGTAAGCTATTGTGTATATGTGTGTTTGATTCAGTTGTCAGTATAAATAAATGAAACTCTTGATCATCTCTCTGAGTGTACAAATTATCATAAGAATAATATCTATACGCGCTTTACTATTCATATCAAATATACCTTTGTTCCGTTCACTGCATGATGTTATTTTTCTTCTCTCTCATGTATATGTAGTGTCCTTGTCAATTTATATTTTATATTATTCACAATAAAAACTAGTTCATCCAAATATCTCTATCATAACGTGTGTATGTGTCTTAATACATGAATAAAGCATTTATCAAAACTACATGCACGAAATGTACGACAAAAATAGATGTTTAGAACTAACTTTCAGTGAACGTTGCAGTCGAGTAAAATTTTACAGGATAACCATTCAAAGTAAGTTTAATAGCGTGGCATCATGACATGATAAATGAGAACAGTTAACAAATGTATTTGTAATACTATTCAATTCAACAGAATCGGATAGAGAAGAAAACTGGAAGATTTATGTTTTATTAGATAATAGAATATGATTGCCGCGTGTCGATTCGTACCTATTTTGAACTGTTATCTTATATTCTATTTGCACTGGAATAACCCTAGTGAATGTACTTGAATTCGGGTACCTAAGAACTTTGGCTGCCGCAAGCCAAGTGTGACTAAGTACCTACCAATGATATTGCTTGGATGGGTACCTAAAATTACTTGTTGGATACTTTAATACTAGAGGCTAGCAGAGATACCTAAAAAAAGACTTTGAAGGTACCTAAATACTTTTGCGTGCGGAAGCCGAGTACTTATGACATTACAGTATCATGGTATCCAGGGTACCCAACCCGATTTTTTCACATTCACTAGGAAAGGATCATATTCATATTGTGCATTTCAGGTTATTGTCACGTTTTAGTTCTAATATAGACTAAATACAGCTGTTAGATGAGCATTTTAAACTTCGATATCTCAGGCATAATTCATATAATGTATGGAACAAAGTCGATCGCTTTTCTAAGACTTTTTTTGTAAATTCACCTATAAGCTTAAACAATGATCAGTGTCTATCAGCCATAAAAGGATATTTTAAACGTTTTATCATATTCGTCTGGTATATGACATAGATCTTCTTCTCATGTTTTGATCAAGCGATCCCAGACTACTATTAAGTGTTATGTGATGCAGCATAATGTCATGTTTATTTTGAGTAATATTACTATCAATGTTATGTTGTTTATTTGAATTTCAGTTGATAAAATAATCGTTTGAAACCATATACAAAGTGTATCTGTGTGAGAATAATGATTACTTCAAAGAAAACAACAAATAGTATAAACGGATAATAAGTAACACGTCCCATAATGCAATGAACATAATTAGTAGATATGTCTGCGATTAAAGATGATTTTCTCTTTTTCATGATGTCTATACGTCTTTGTCTAATATAATTATATAGTATATAGTACTTGAGTCAGAAGAGATGCCATTCTCGTTCTAGAATCTAAACTCTCTTTCTCTTTTTATCTAATTGTTATAAATTTTTTATATTATAAAACTAGACTTCAAATAACATACAGATCGATTATTTATGCTAAAACATATCACTCCACCCATTATTGATTACAATCATTTTAAAGTACTACTCTATACCGACAATTGACAAGAACTAAATTGATGAATTCATGAACAACATAGAATCTTTCTGAAGGCAAAAGTTTAAATTAGTTAATAATTGAGAGATGATGTTTCACATAATTTCACATCCATTGAAGGTAAAAAGATCAAAAGATTTATATCATGAGAGAGGATAATTGTTCTATTTTGTACATCTAACTAAGATTTGTCTGTACTAAATATAGCGTGTTAATGAATATGTGAAAAAATAATGGATAAAAAAATATGGTACGATCATGATAATTATACAATCATTTCTTGCCTTTGTTGACTAATTTCGTGTGAGAAAATATCACTCATATTTTCTCCTTAAGCACTCAACAAAGAAAGTATTGTTATCAATTAGATTTTATTACATGTATATACAACACTTACATTTAGAAATTTCAACATTGAATAATTAAGTATATTGGCATTCATTCATTCTCGATAAATCTTTGTGTAGAAAATTTTTTTCTTTTATACCTCTCCTAGATGCTGCAAAACATGAATATCCAACAAATAATCATTTTATAATTAGAATACTACAAAATATATAATTGAGCATAACATAGACATTTATCATAGTCTTTTTCTCTATTCACACGAATACCTCATAAGTTTATCACAAAAAATTTGAGAGTTACAATAATCATGCTTCCTAGAATGTTGCAATGCTTAACATACGTATATAAATCATATCTGAAACCGTGCAGTTTTATTATGTGATTATGACCTTCAGATTGAATTAGATGATGACAGTTTATGTCTCCTCATTTTATTGAACAACATCTGTTGTAATATCTCAGTGACATAATAACAACATTGAAGTAATTAGATCAAACTGTGAACAATATAAAAAGACACACGAGTGATAGTAAGTACCAAATACTAATTTTTCTTCGTTTTAGTTATGAAGGAAATAGCATAACATTTAACATAAATCTTCTTTCGAATCATCGTTCAAGTTCTTTTTTTTATAGAAGTAAAAAGAGAAAACTATTGCTAGATCTTATCGAGAAACATCATTCTGTTATATATTTCTTATCACATATAAATGTAAGTAAGTTGTACTAAGTTTTATATCGTTAATCAACGGCAATAGCTTAATTCATTTTAGAATGATAAAAAAAAAATTGCATTAAAACATCACGCTGTTAACATAAAACATTTTAACCTATTTCGATAAGTGCATAAAAGATATAAAACGCATATTATGCAATTTTAGTATTGATGTATAACAAAAAATCGGTCACATTTTTTTAATCTTTTAGACGGAAACGATGTATCTTTAGTTAATGATTTATTTTTTTGTTTAGGAATAATTGAAATATAACATGTATTTATTATTGTTTTTGATTATTTTCATCTCTTCTTCTAATACTGTTATATCGTTGTTTTCATCATTGTCTTCTACTACCAGTAACAGTTCGTATTATCTATTGAACGTTGATGTTAATTCGAATGATAGTCAATCGTCATCAATAATATGTGATAATTTGTTCACAGAACAACAAACCTATAGAATACCACGAGAATGTTTAAGTCATTTTTATTGTGATTTGTCTAAATGTGACGAACATCAATTTCGTTGTGTTAAATTACGTGAATCATTATGTTGTCTGTATAAATATTTTACGAAACATTGTCGTCTAAATACGATTAAAGAAAATTTTCGGTACATCTATTTTCAATTATCAGTTCAACATGGATATTGTGAAATTAATTTAGAACGAATTGAAAACAATGATGAGACATATTGTATAGCAGATGAAGACAATTTTCGACAGCCACAAACAACAACAGTGTTTTATCCTCATTATCATCATCATCATATGAAACATCATACACAGCAAACTTCGGAACATCATCATCTTCGAATTTTAAAAACAACAAAACATTATCGACGAAAACAAAATATTGCCACACGGCACAATCATTCGACCAATCCACATTATTTAAGAAAAGTACTGCTTTATAACCCCGATGCAGGAGCAATAATAAACGATACAAATCGTCAAACTATTCGACTCATGTTATTTTATCCAGTCTTCTTATCATTATTATTGTCAAATAGTTTTACATAAACTACGATCCATTTCAAACAGAAGAAAGCTGAATATTTTCGATTCGTGTTGGATAGACGAGAGAGAGTACAGACGAGCATTCTTCGATATTGTGTAGCCAAAATATGATCTGTTTCTGTAACGGAAAAATGAAAGGTATATCTTATCGATATTCAATGAAAAACGATTACCAATCTACATCTTTTTTTTGGTAATATAAACTTCTTATGTGCAAGGACGAATCCAGGATGTCGTCGATACGATCCAGTCAATATGAAACTTCTCTGTACCATGGTTACGTTGTGGATTTGTTTTTTGTGGGAACCTTTAGATCGGACCAGAGCACGTTTCGTACCCTTAGAAATAAATGGAAATGTAGATTATCAATCCATCTAATTCAACATTTTATAGAAAAGTCTGTTTCATGACAAAAGTTAGAAAAACTGTAGATTTTAGACAAAATATCTCATGGCAGGCTACACTATTAAAAAACTGTGTTCTTCAGTTTTTCAGAGAACTGAAAAGTCAACGGGAACTTTGTTCTTCATTTGTCCCAAATAGAGAACTTAAATTCTGTTCTTCAACTCTCAAGAACTCTAAATTTGTTTCTCAATTTTTCAAAGAACGAAAAAAACCATTTTTTTAAAAACTGAAGAACAAATTTAGAGTTCTTGAGAGTTGAAGAACAGAATTTAAGTTCTCTATTTGGGACAAATGAAGAACAAAGTTCCCGTTGACTTTTCAGTTCTCTGAAAAACTGAAGAACACAGTTTTTTAACAGTGTAGTTAGATTAATCCATAAGAAGTTTGTATTTTTATTCATCAAAAGACCAGATCAGATTCTACAAAACATCGAAGACTGAACGTCTCTCTCTTTCTTCTATCTAGTACTATTCAAAAAATATGCAACTCTCTTCTGTTTTGAAATGAATAGTAGCTCTTCGTGAAAGATCATTGAACAACTACAACTCTGATGTACACATTTGCATACGCATTCAATACAGTGTCTCAATGTTTCAATTCCGAATTACACTTTAGAAGATTCATTAGAAACAAAACTGTTCTGTTGTTGTTTTCTCAATACCAAAGGATTCATTATTTTATGTCGGTATTTTAGAAAGCAGATACTTCATATTGGGATGATAATTGAGTTATATTTTGTAGTTGTTCATTCTGAGTTAAATTATATGTCATTGTAATTACTATTTTCGTTTTTTATATTTTATGATAAAAGATTAGATATTGGACCTAGAATTTAAAACAGTTGGGTGGACATGTAATCCCAGATACATTGTATTGGGATAGCTGTAGCAGTCGAAAACGTTTCTCTTTACTCTGGTACTCTCTGTAAGATGCGTGGAAACTCTTCACAAAAAAGGTACAAAAGCAAAAGATTGTTTTAATGCTTTTAAACTCTTTCTAAAAAGGGTTACGAAGAATATCACCACATGGATCACTTGAGGGTGTAAAAAAGCTTAAAAAACCTTTTGAGTATTTGAAAGAACGAAAAAAAGGATTTTTAAAATGGCTATGGTATTCTCTTAGTTACAAAAGAATTTGAAATCATTTTGAGATTTAAGAGTCAATTTCAAAGTTTTTCGCTCTCGCAACGCCTTTTTTAGAGAGCAGGTAACAGTTTCATGGACAATTTTATAGTTTTTGTTGTTCAAATATTGTACAGATCAAAATTTAGATAATTACCTAAAGTTATTGTAAATGCTTACTGGTTCCAGCAGTTAAAGTTGATTTAATCGATGATATTATTGCGTTTTTTTTCTTTCTTTTCTGTGTGTATAATATATTCACCTTTCTTTGTTTCGCGACAGCAGTACTTTAAATATGACATTGCAGAAAATGAAAACGAAGAAAATTTTCTTCTCAATTCTTAACAGTGTGAATCATCGCCACACTGGTCAACAGACACGCCATAGCTAGTGGGCCCTTACACTTTCTCGAATGAGCAGAGACAGGAGTCATTAGAAAATGAACGAAAAAGAATAGGAAATAAAAATCTAAGCCTATTTTTAGCTTTCAGACACCTGAAAAATGGTCACATTCTGCCGAATCCAGCGGAATCCGATGTCTGGAACTCGAAGGATCCGGTCGGATCATTACTGACATCTTCCGGCACGGAATCCGCCACGGGCGCCAGGTTCCGGTAGGATTGTGTCGGATTTTGGCATGTTTCGACGTCGGATCCGGTCGGATGTTTCAGGAACTTATCTTCGGAACCATCGGAATGTGTTGAACATCTCCATACAATATTGCAATTTACATCTGATAGACAAGTAATTTACGGTTTATTAACAAATTTTTGTATTGGTGTATTAATTCGGGTTCGTTTAAAGCAAAAATAGATGATCCATTTGAATTTGAAACAGAATTTGAAATTTAATGGATATCCAAAACGGATGATTTGAATAACACGTTATGAACAATAATCCATTTAAATGCGCAAAACTATAGCCCATTGGGCTTTAAATTTAACGAAGCATTAAATTTAATTAGTTATCATTCTGTGTTGGAACGTGGTAGTCTTAGTCTTGGTTGTAAAATTCAATCAAATGAAAATGACAAAGAATATAAAGCATAAAAATTACGAGATTTAACCATGAAAAAGAATATGAACTTATTAATGCTAATAAAAAATCAATACCAAAAACAAGTCATTTTATAGAAACAGAAAAATGGAGACAAAAGTATTTATTATTTACACCCATTGGTAAATCTGTAAAAAATTCTACATTAACAATTGCTAATAAAAAACAATGTTTTAATGGGATCCGGATCACTTGGCCGACAATCACTTTGCCGACACATCACTTGGCCGACATCTACACTTTGCCGACAGGTACTTTTTCTCGATATGTACACTTTGCCGACAACTCATTTTGCCGACAAAAAATTGAAGTCCAGAAAACTGTGTATGCGCGTTTGGCTTGCTGAGTAAGTACTCACAGCCAGTCTAACTGCCCCCCCTCCCCCCACAAACGGTCACATTTGGAGAGAAATTCTTCTCTGTTTGTTTTTGCGCGACAAAATTGTAGCATAATCTATGTCTCA